TATAATGGATTGCTTTTGTTAAAATTTTTTACTTTGAAAATATTCATTTAAAAAATGCACCAACAACTTTTGGTTCAACGTAATATTTTTTCATTTGATATTATATTATCCGAAAAAGTTGACCTATAACAAAGAAACAAAAAAAAAGGAAGTAACTGGTTGCGCCAATGGTTATACGACCACTGATACGGAATAAAGCAGAGATACATCTACTATTGCTGCGACGCCAGTGCGAACGTGGGAATCTACGGCTGCTATCCGCTCAGCCTCATTAATGATGATGTGCTTGCCACCCAGTTGCAGCTTTCTCTCTTTCTCTCTCTTTCTCTCTCTCTCATTCTAACTAATACCACGTACGGATTCAAGACAAATACATATACTCATACGTATAAGTATATATATATATATGTGTATATTTGTGATGCACACAACTTTATGTGTAATACATTTTGTATATTTGTGAACGTGTTTAGCAGATATGTGTATGTGCATTTGTATGTATGTGTGTGAAAGCTGACGCCCAGCCAGCGACCGCATCCGTCGCAACCCACCCACCCTCGCTGAATTTCACTTGAAGGTTTCTCCACCACCCACCCTTTTCAACACTATCCACCATAACTCTCCCACACCCTCCTATTTTCCTACAGAAATACAGCTCGTACATCTCGGAACGCTAGCGACCTACTACTAATACTACTATTATTAATACTACTACTACTACTACTACTTTTACTATTACTGTTAGTAATATCCCCACCAAATTCAATTTCGAACAAGCCGTGACCACTTTTTCGCTCCCATCGTTAGATCCTTCTTTTCCTTTCGATTTCGTAATATTATCAAGGTAGAAAGTTGACTCCGATAAGATTAAGAGGACTGGAAGTTAATAAAAATCTTATTTTTTTGTTTGTTTCTAGGAAATAAACTAAATAGAAAAGTATGAAATAATGGCACATCAAAAATAAGTGAATTAGAAAAGTATTTGGAAATTTTTAAAAAAGACCAAAACACAGACAATATGCGAAAGAACTTTGAAAATATTACCAAAAGAATATCATTAGCGTAATAATTTGTTTTTTGAAAATAGAAACTCTAGAAAAAAACGATAAAGAAACAATTGAGATTTTGAATAAATATTAAACAAGTATTACATTAATATTCATAATAATATATATATTATTAGAATATAATTTTAATTAATAATATTATAACGAATATGTTAAATTTAAATATATGATAATACATACAAATGTATTTATAATATTTGATATATATATATATATATATATATATATATTCATAATATGTGGTCAATTCGGAATCATCTGGATGATCTATTATTATTCAAGAATAACGTGATTAAATAATCAAAACAGATGTATCATCATATCAAATGAAAAAATATAAGGGACAAAAATAACGTGGATATGATTTAATTAATGTTTAGCAGTACAACATGAACGTGGACCAAGGAAACCGAAGCCACCACATTCGATTTTTTCGGAAAAGCAACAACATCAGCAACAACAGTCACCAATAGTTACACAAAGGACAGGACTCCGTTCAGCTTATGTTCTTTCACATCACAGGTATCTCTCATATCCGAATTTCGGTGAACAAAATTATCTTTGGAAAATAAAACAAAAAAAGAAAAAGAAAATGAAATAAAAAATATGTTTAGTAATTAAATAGTTAAATTTGATTACAATCAACTGATTTAAAAAAAGGTTCAGGTGCGAGCAAAGATTCACCCCTTATCCTAGACCAATAGGACTAGCACACAAACCACCAGAAGACTCAACATCCCCGGTACCTTTAACTCAGCCACAGCACCCTCCTACGACAACAACCCTCTACCAAGCAGCAGCAGCAGCAGCAGCTACAACTGTCTCTCTTGCTCCGCAACAATCCCTCTTACAGATCCTAATATCAGCTGAAAAGTGTCAGGTAAGTAATTTAACTTCATTCATATTCGTAACTTTCGAATCTTCTTCTTCTTCTTCTTCTTCTCATCCCTTACCCTTTCTTCTAATTTAATAAGTAAAGATCTTTCGAGTTAACGAAACAATTGTATCTATATTGTTCTTCTTACAATTAAATTTGATTTCTTTCAATTTTTTAACACTTGGTTTGTATGATAGTGTTTAAAAAAACAACGATTCATCGAAATATTTGATTTAAATATATATTAATAACGTTGGATATGTTTTAAATGATACGAGATCACTATTTATTATATGTTTTTGATCAGGAACTTGTATGGAGTACCAGGCTACAATCAGAAACGGAATATTCGTTAGAACAAACAGATTCCGAGACGAGGCATAGTCCGACGGGAACCTTAAAAATGATTGGTCCTAGTTGGGAAATGTTTGAGGTAGAATATTATTCAATTTCATTTGTATAAATGATCACACTTCTCAATAGTTAATAATATATTAATGATAAAATAATGAGATCAATTTCTGTCGAAAAAATAAATCAAATTATTCAAATTCACGGACGATAGAAAATAGAATTTTGTTTTTATCAAAGTATAGAAATAATGCGTATAAGTATGTTGAAAAAAATTGTTTGAATAAATAATAATATATGTGTTAGGAGATCACCGCCAGGCTTCTTTTCATGGTGGTGAGATGGGTCAGATGTTTGCCACCCTTTCAAGCCCTACCAAAGGACGATCAATTACTTTTACTCGAACGATCCTGGACTCAACTATTTCTCCTACATCTTGCTCAATGGATGATACCATGGGACGTGACGAGTTTACTTGATGACGAACAAGTTAAAAGTCGGCTTCCAGTTAATGACGTTGCTACCAGTCAAGAATTGGGTATGATTCAGGTAATCATTATTTATAATCATCAGTTATATCAAATATTTTCTATATGATAATACATTTTAAAAAAAAATTAATTAACATTAATGTGTGATCGATCATGACATCAAACGAATAATTATAAATTAACATTTAAATCTAATTTGTTTCATCATTTTGATTTGTTTGTTTTAGTCAATAATATATCGTTTCCGGCGTTTAGCACCTGACGTTTACGAACGTAGTTGTATAAAAGCTCTTACACTTTTCATACCAGGTAAATTAAATCACAATTATTAATATTATTTATTGAAAAAAGAAAAGTAGATTATTGGACCGGTATCAGTGAAAGTGAAGACTTTATCATTTCACAGAAACAGTTGGGCTACATGTGGTACAACCAATTGAGATGCTACAGGAACAGGTGCAATGTATCTTAGATGATTATATGAGATCAAGATATTCGCCACAGGGTAGAGTTTGTAGTCTGATGCTGTTGGTTGGTTATTTAAGAAGTGTTTCGTCGAAAACCGTCGAACGTTTGTTCTTTCACGAGACTATTGGTGAAATTCCCATATCACGTTTATTGGTTAATATGTATGAGATGGAGGAAAGGCAAATCGAAGTGCAGTAATTTTGAGATTAATTTATTCAATTGGTTCCGATCATTCAATTGCATATATTCATTAAATAACTTACGTACACGCGCGCACACACACTACCGCCTAAAAAGTATTTCGCCACTTTGACAAATTTTTATATTTGAAATTTTTGTGGTTTATATGTTGTTTGTAAGAATAATTGAGACAATTGATTTTAAGGAAATGCGATTTATAACTCTGTTATAATTATTTACAAATAAATATCTCGATTGAAGAAATATTTTTTTGTAAATTTATAATTGCAGGTAAAGAATACAAGTTGTTATTTGTACAAAAAAATACATAATAACAATGGCTGGAATTGTTTTTAAATTATCATTACAAATATAAGTGGTCAAATATTTTTGAACGATAGTTTATGTACATACGTATATATATAGATATATATTTCATTTTTATTCGTAATTGCTTATAAATAGTTATTTATTAAAAAATCTGTTCTCATTTATTTGTTTAAATAATGTGAAAATGTTGAAAATCATCATATATATATATATATATACATGTATATATTTATTTATTCTCGTGTATTTTTATATACATATACGTCGGTTTTCCTCACACACACACATTATTGTTTAAAAATAATTATTTATTCGACTCTTTTTTTATACGTATTTTATTTTGTTAAGTTTTTTTTTTAATAAAGTTGCGAATCATCATTTATATATTTATTAATTTTGTTATTAATAAATGAAAATCCATTGATCTTAATAAATGTGTTATAAATATAATAGGTCTTGTTTAAAAAGAGCAAAAAATGATATTTAAAATAATTCAATATCCGTTAGGTTCTTATTTGAAATAATATTTAAACAATTTATCGAGTCTCGCTATATATTTCTTGTTATCGAACGAATAAAAATAGCATATTATTAGATATCGTATATTATTATAATTTTGTCGGCTTAATAGTAAAGATATATTTACGTATAATATACGTAAGAGTATGTATATTTAAATATTATTTTTCTAAACGTTTATAGAAATACAAAGAATGTATAATATTTTTTATTGTAGTTCAATTATCTAACAAAGTTTCTGATTATTTTAGTATCTTTCGCTATTAAACCGACATCGTGTTCAAATGTAATTTAAACCGATTTGAAAAATTTACTTCATAAAAGAATTACAGGATTACAAGAAAGAAAGAGAGGTATTGACGAGAAGTGTAGAATCATAGAATTTAATAAGAAACCTCCCTTTTTTTTTTAATTCTTAAAGCTTTGTTTAAACGTGTATAATAAAAAACCGATAAGAATAGCAAAATATTTCGTTAAATATTTTTCTCGGAAGGATACTTTTAGTATTCACTGAATCTCAAAGATATTCTGTAATAAATGAATGTCTTTAATAATGATACACTATAAAACTGTAATATTTAATATATTTAATATAGTTGCATTAAACTTTTTCGTAAAACAAACGGACGTGTATTTCTTTATCATAAATTTCAAATTTAGCGGGGATATTGTGGTATCTAAGTTTCGTAAAAGATCCGATTAGTGGCGCTCGTGTCTACTCCTTACAAAAATGGCTGCGCCTATGATGCATCTTTTTAACATTAAGGTTAGAAAAATGGTACAAATGAAAATATTTATAAAAACTTTATACGTTAGTAATCATATATCCATAGTAACTAAATATATTAAAACAAGAAAAGAAAATCTTTTGTTTACTTGAGTTAAAATATAATTTTATAAATTTGGATGTTAACATTATCATTCTCAGTGTGTTTGAAACTCATTCTAATAATTTATCTTATTTATCCATCAACACTTATTGCATTCATAAAACTGAAGAAAATATTCTATATGAATGGGCAAGAGGTACGGAATTAAAACATACTTATTAAGGAAATAAATATTTCTTTACATATAATATTTCCTTTCAGATCACTCATTCTTTTTGTCGATGAGAGTAATACCATCAAAGCGAAGAAGAAAAGTAATAGAACTATGGAAAGTCTAATGATATTGTCACCTGCTATAAACTTGTCTGTTAAGAAAACTAGAGAGAAGTAATGGAGCAATATAGTAGTACCTTATTCTGATCTATGCATAGTAATTACTTAATTTTTGATTTATTGAATATGAATAATCATAAATTATTATCAGAAAAATATAAAAGTAATTATGGTACAACAACAACAACTTTCTTACCCAATGTGGATCTTTTATTATTATGCAGTACAATGCCTGTTAATGACACGGAGGAAGGCAAAAAGAAGAATTGCTACTATAATTCCATTGCTATAGCTATATTTCGCCTATTATTTTAAAATTAGTTGAATTTAAAAAAGAGTATAATACACCGTGGCAAAAGAAAATGCTTTTTGTATTAACTAAAATAAAAATGTTGTTGTTAGAATGATTCATTAAAAATAAATAACTTTAATATTCTTACTTCGGAAAATACTTGGTGAGACGCTATAAAAAAACCTCCAATTGAGAGCGCACATTCCATTTTGCTTCTTACAATCATAAACAACAGCATTTTTTGAGTTTTTATAGAAAGCATATAGAATGGAACTTGACATCTGTACAGAAATTTTTGATTTATATACAAAATACATAATGGTAAATCGCTTAATAATTAGACTATCTTTTATATAAATTTTATAAATATTTGTTAACTCTTTCGCTCCTGTACACTTCTACTAAAATACCTTACATAAATTGTAAAATTTTTTAAATGTGCTGTTTAAAGATGATGTTTAGTAGTTCTGTGTATGTTGTAAATTTTGAATAAAGCTTTAAATGACCTACATTAATATAGTATTTGTTTCTTATTAACACGAAAAAAACTCAGATACCCGTTAGATAAAAATTACTTTAGCAATTCAATAATAACCGGTGCAGAAAAATAGTCTAGAATATTTAACAAATCTTACAATTCATCGTAAGCAATATTGCTATGATTAATAATCTTTTGACCCATATAAAAATTAATATATGCTATAAATATAGAAGTAACAACATAGGCACAACACTCGATTATTTCCCCTGTTTTCTGTGACATCGAAGTTAATTGAAATATCTAAAAGAAGAAAAAAATAATTAAATATAGATATATTATATAAAAGAAATTTTGTATTTTTTTGTGGAACATACAATTGATAAATATGTTTTGCAATAAGGTACAATAATATTCTATTGTATAAAAGAAGATTAATTTCTTTCCTACAGTGTTTTCAGTCACGTGATTCTTTTTTTAAATTACAAATATATTCAAGTATAAAGAAAATTGTTTTTTTACCATATTTCCTATTTACGGAAAACCGATAACTTACATTAACAAAATCCAATATTATAAGGATCATCACAAAGAAAGAACATAATAAGTAATTTATTTTTGTGAAATAACTTATGAGATCAACAAACCTTAAACAATGAAAAATTATTCATTATCGTATATAACAAAAAAAAAAAAAAAGTTAAAAGGTATATTTTTAATTACTGTGTGTGATTCTGTAAACAATTATATTTTACTTACTCCGTGACTCTTATATAACGCTTGATTATGTCAACTATCCAATCGAATTCTTTCCAAGAATTTATATTATTCTTATCTTGTCCATTATTACATATCTTGTTATTTAAAAATGGTTGTCGCAATTTAAGTCTAGGTAAAATATGGTAAAAAAATCTTGTTTACTTTTGTAATATTTTAAATATAAACAAGCGTTATTTTGAAATTAAACATCGTACCCGATAGCAGTAAATTGGCAACATGCGTTTTGTATTAATGTCAAATATAATGAATTCCACACATTCGTAATATTAATAGATATATAAATTCCTATTATTTGATAAAGAAGCAAACTATAATATAGTGGTCCTGGGTTTGAAACATTATTAACTGGGAGGGGTAATGTTACGAGAGCATTATCTATGGTCCCAAAATGGTAGATAAATATACTTAAAATAGATGGAAATATATTTGCTATGACACAGAGATTGGTGATACCTAAAATAATCGATAAAATGATATTCATCGAAATAAATCTAATTAATATTATACATTTTTGTAATGTTTACCCGTAAAAAAATACGTATACATTTTGGTTTGTCTCGTATAATTTTCAAAAATGTTCAATTCATCCTCGTCGGATATCGATTCGTAGGTACATTTAAAATAAGAATACATTAATTTCATCTATAAATAAAATGTTTACGTTTTAAATTGTCTTTTTTTTTTTTTTCAAAGGGATTTTATTATTACGAAAAATAATACGAACGGTTATGAATCTATAATAAGTTGTACAGTAGGTACACAGGAAACACATAGCAGCTATTATATTCTGCAGAATTTTGATAGCCGAGTGCAGGCTGGTATCAATAGACACATAAAAATGATAAGACTGAAGTAAAAAAAAATACAAAGGGTTAATATAATTTAATTTACAATTAAGTTAATCCGTTCAGCAGTATTTTTGTATACGCTTAAACGGTTAGATTTTTTTTCAAATTAAAATTATTTTCGCGTTACAAATTATATATATATATATAAAAAATAAAAAAAACTTGTCTATTAGTTCTTATTAATATTTTTAAAATGAATTCAAATGTAAACTCTTAAATATAATATCACAATAACAAACAATATGGATTCAGATCTAATCGGAATCATTTATGTACGCGTACCTGTTGCACAATTATAGGTAATAAGTAAACCGTTACAATACAAATTTGTAATAACTGATCATTCGAACTTTGATACGGACGTAAACCCATCAGTAACTGAACTAGTCGATTTGAAAAAAGAAAATGTTGTTCGAAATAGATTAAACCTTTTACCGACATCGTGAACGGGTGGTCTTTTTTATAATTGTCATGAAATAAAATCTCACTTTTTTCCATTCCACACCCGGTTTAGAATCTTTTATTATAGTCGGTTGTAGCGCGAGTTATCAAAAATTAATATGAAAATAGAAGCAGTTATAATAAAAAATCGATAATAGCTAATATTTAATATTACCTTCCATATTTTACATTTGATTTTTATCGATCAGTTTTTAATATTATTTAATTGTATATAGTAGGTATGAAAACAGGTGATAATTCCCAACAATTAAATAAGGAGTTGTAAGGGTAGTATACTTTATATACTATAATAAATTTCCAATAGCATGCGCAGAAGGATCGCTATTCTTTTCAGTTACTTGTTGGATTATAGAACGAACAGTACAGTTCATAAAAAGTTGAATTTAAACGACAAAGTCTAATTTATTAATAATACCGTTCATCATATGTTGCACATATAAATTTGTAAGAGAAATGGTTTGTCCTCCTATAAAAAAAAAAAGTAAGTATCATAGTTACGTTTTCTAATTTCTTAAAGCAAACACAATAACTGTAAAAAATAAAATCGGTCAGAATATTTTAGCGACACTAAAATTAATTGCGTTTATTACGTCTTGTTATGCTACATAGATTATTATGTCAATTAAGTATTAAAAAGTGTACTGTTATTTTGTTTTCTAATTTTATTTAAAAATGTCCAGTAAAATCAGTCGCAGTTTCTAGAATAATTCTGTTAAAAATAAGCGAGTAATCATAGTGATCGTAGATAGAAAACAAATTGATAACAAAAACACACACGTGAAATGAACAAAATTTGAGTCTACGATATTTTTGTCGTAATTTTGTAATATTAATTATAATATTACTACACATTTCAAGCAACTATAATCGTAAATAGATACATCATTTTTCTCTGTAAGAAATCAAATTATAAATATTTTTTCTTACGGTAATAAATAAATTTCATATACTAACTGTCGTATATTGTTATTACAGTTACAGCATATTATAATATACCATGGCAAATGAAAACGCTCTTTGGACTAACTGAAATAATAAATCTGTTGTTAATAATACGTTAAAATTAAAAGAAATATTTGACAAGTCGTAAAAAAAAAAAAAAAAAAAAAAAGAAAACAAAATCTGATATAACGTTATTTATAATAATTGTTACACACTTCGGAAAATATTTCATGCGATGCCACGAATATACCACCGATTGAAATTTCACACGGTCTCATGCTTCTTGCTATAACGAATAACAATAACTTTTGAGTTTTTATAGAAAGAACGTAAAATGGAACTTGACATCTGTAAATAAAAAAAAGAAAAAACAAAAATTATAGACTATGTTTTAATACAAAAACTAAAATATAATGTTTTAATTCATCATATTTAAAGATCTTTTAAATAAAGTTAAATAAGTTATTATATATAGTTCCTATTTTTTTTTTTTTTTATATTTGTAAGATCTCACAATTCTTCGACAGTTGCACTGTTATGATCAATAAGCATTTGTCCGAAGTAAAAATTAGCGTATATAGTCAATATAGATCCAGCAATGATAATGAAGCATTCAAACATTCCGTTTGTATTTTTCAATATTACCGATAATTGCAATATCTAAAAACAAATATATTATTTAACAGGAAGACATTAATAAAAAAAATATACAACGAGCACGCAATGCGTTAAAATAAAAAAAAATATAAAAGAAAGAAATATACTTTCACGAATTAAATATCTTACATGAACTTACATAAATTAAATCAAAGAATATGAGTATCATAGCAAATGAAATTTCAACCAAATATACTATTTTGGACAAATTGTTTGTCAAATCTACAAACCTTACAAAGAGAGAGAGAGAAAAAAATTTAATTATAATTAAAAAATATATATTATATCGAAAGAATACAATAAATTGTTTGTTACTAACTTTGTAATTCTTTTATAACGTTTTATTATATCGACAATCCACTCCCATTCTTCTTGATGTGTTTTACTATACCAAACTTCTTTCTCACAACTCTGTTCATTAAATGGTTGGCGTATTTTAAAACTGCAATGAATATGATTAGAAAAAAGAATTTTTCATGATAATATACTCGCAACGCATAAAAATAAATCTTTATTATTACGTGTATTAATTAAACACATACATTATAATGTTAAATTGAATGCATGCGTGCTGTATTACTACCAAATACGTTGAATAACATACGCTACATATTGTTAACAATACAAAGATTGCTATTATTTGATAAATAAGCAAACTGTAATACAGTGGGCCACCATTAAAAATGTTATTAACAGGAAGAGGCAGAGTTAATTTTACGTTGTCTAAAAATCCCAAAATATGTAGAAGAACACTTAAAATACTTGGCATTGTTAAAGAAATAGCATAAAGGTAACAAAAACCTAAAAAAAAAAAAACGTGAATACAACTTATTCGCATAATAATCGTTCCGAGATTGGTAAATACTTACCAACGATAATTATTGTGAATAATTTATTTTGTTTCGTGTATTTGTTTAAAATGAATAATTCTTTTTTGCTCGATAATTGTTCATAATCACGTTTAATGTACTTGTCTAATTTTTGTACCTAAAAACGAAATATGTAATTCTTTCTCGTTGTTAAATATACTTTATATATATATATATATGAATAAAATATTAATTTATTATAATCGAAATGACACGAACTGTGGTGAAACGAAAGTAAACGGCGCTGTATGTACAAATAATACATAGTGCACTTATCATCTTTTGCAGCAAATTGAAGTTCGATGCCAATTTAATGTTTGCATTAAAAAGTTGATAAAACTGAAAATTTGCAATTGTATGATATACAAAGGTATACATGGGATTGTTGGAAATAATTAAAATATATGCAAATAGAATCGAGCATTTAAATAGAAATATCAAAATATTTCTTTTATTTATGATTTTATATTAAAATTTTCACAGAACAAATTTGCATTATTCTTTGTTAAAAAAAAAAAAAGAAAAAAAAACAAATAAAGGAAAAGTTAAATTTAATATTTAATATTTTAAATATTTCCAAATGATAATTAGCCTAATTTGATTAATAATCGTAGATTCGTTGAGAAAAATGTTTACCTGATGTACAATCATTGGTAATACATAAGCAGATACAGTACACCATCGAAATAATTGATCATACGAGCTTTGATTAGGTCTTAAGCCCATTATAAGTTGTACTAATCGATTGGAATAAAGAAAATGTTGCTTGTAGTAACTCGAACCTTTCAAAGACATAATGATGAATCTTATGTTTTCTGCTTCGAAGTTAATAACACGCTTCACGTTTCTTCTTTTTCTTCTTCTTCTTCTTCTCATTACGTATTACGCATTTTAATAACATTTTATTATAGTTAATAGACCTATTTGTAAAACAGTTATATGAAAATAGTATCATAACAATAAAAATCTAATTCTTGGGCTTTTCCTATGGTATTATAGTATTGACGAACACTCAATACAGAAAAAAAGTTTATTTTATATGTATAAACAGGTGGTTGTTTTCAACCATAAAACGAGGGTTGTTATATATCTCCTCTTTTTTTTTTCTTTTTTCTTTTTCACTATGCAAGAACTTGCGCAGAAGTGTCTGCTGACAGAGATTCTTGTCAGTTGATATTCAGCCGGTGTACAGTACACAGGTGCTTGGAAAATAATAACGAGTGTTAGAAAACAAAATTAATTGGTATAATACTATAGGGTGCAATTGTTTGAAATCGATAATATGCATATCGAACACATTTCTTCGAAGAATACAGTGAATAAATATTCGTTTGTTAGGAAAGTTCATGCTTATAAATATTTTTAATATACACAGTGTTTCGTAATATGTGCAGCGAACCTTTTTTCAGGAGTTAACAGGGAACATAACAAAAAAAAAAAAAGAAAAAAAAAATAAATCGAAAAAATTCTTACAAACATAAATTTAAAATTATGGTATTTGTATGAAAATACTAAGTGAACTTTTTTTTTTCCATCTCACCATCTGCAATTATTGAAATGTTATTATTATTATTATTATTATTATTATTATTATTATTATAAGAAAAGAAATGAACGAAATTTTGATACACAATATATGTTGCAAGCACTATATATTTTCAATTACTACTACGTATTTAATACAATGAGTATTTTGTTGAGTTTTTTTTTCTTTTTCTTTTTTAAAATATGTTCTTGGAAAGATAATATTTTTATTACTCCCAAAAGATGGTTCACATACTATAATACACCGTGGCAAAAGAAAACGCTTTTTGTATTATCTGAAATAATATTAATATTCGTTGTTAAACGTAAAAAATATAAATGAGAAAGGATTATAGTCGAATAATTAAATGCTTACTGCAGCAAAAACTCTGTGCGATGCTACAAATATATTACCAATCGAGATCTCGCACGGGTGTACGCTTCTTGTTAATAAAAATAATAGCAATTTTTGAGTTTCTATGGATAGAGTATAAAACGGAATATTGCATCTGAAGAATTATATGTTTTTTTATATATTAGGTTTAGGACACGTAGATTGATTGATATACCTTCTTCATTTGTGAACGTATACTTTTTGAGCACATACACCCTTAGGAGTGAATAATTGGCATAACAAATACTTACAATTCTATGAAAGCTGCATTGCTATAATTAGTAAGCAATTGTCCAATGTAAAAATTAATATAAAGATTAAATATAAATCCTATGGTGAAAATGATGCCTTCTAATATTTCTCTTACATTAAGTAATAAGGTAAATAATTGGAATACCTTAAAGAAAATGAAGTAACAATGAAATATATTTATAATAATCCGATATAAGTTAAATCATAGGCTAAAATAAATAATTATATTAGATCGGGGAAAAACAGTTTCTTCGTATTTATCCAATAAATTATTTTAGGTTCGAATAATTTTGGTAATATTAATCGGATCCGAAAATTATTGCGTATGTTTTAAAGCTGGTATAAAATAGATTTGTTTCACTTTTGCATTACAATACGAAGAAACTTTTTCTCTGACCTAATATTATACATATATATATATATTTTAAATTACAATGTGTTTCAAATACTTACATATAGAAAATTAAGTATAACGAGTAGCATCGAAACACAAACGGCTAATAAATAAGTCATCTTGGAAAATTTATTTATTAAATTGACGAGCCTTAATATAAAAAGAAAAAAAAATTGATTATTGAGTATATTGTAAATGATCATGCTAATACATCACTTTCATTACACAATAACTAAATATATGTTAATCATATTCATGTATTAGAATATCTGATATTACTATTAATAATAAGCATTGATAAAATTAATTTTATTAACAAAAAAAAATTATTTTACACTAACTCTGTGACTCTATTATAACATTTGATTATATCAATTAACCATTCTCGTTCTTGTTGAGGTGTTCTACAACACCAAGCATTTCGTACATGCATTTGATTATTTTCAAACGGTCGACGTACTTTTTCTCTACAATTAACGTATAAAATAATAACATTTAATTGATCATAAAGAATATTGTTAGAATATATGAAATATTTTTGATTTACATATTAACCCTATATGTACTCGAGAAATTAATTTAGGTAATATTTTTGTTGGAGTAAGACACTTACATAAAAATATTAAATTGACCACAAATGTGTTGTATAATTGTCCAATATCCTGAATAGATAATAATGCCAATTGATATCATGATAAAGAATATTATTATTTGATAAATAAGCAAATTGTAATATAGGAATCCTGCATGTGAGATATTATTAACGGGAAAAGGTAATGTTAAATCAATATCTTCTGATGTTCCAAAAATATGTTGGAAAACGTTGAAAATACTTGACGATATTACAAAAATAAAATAAAAGTAGAAGACAACTGTAAATATAGAACGAAGTATACACTTATTTGCAATTATCACGTATTACAATCGTTTATGGTTATTGATTTCTTTTCATTACAGCTTACCCGTTAGAAAGCTCGAATATAATTTACTTTGATTTGTATATTTTTCCATAATATTTAATTCCTTTTCGTTCATCAACAGTTCGTAATCAAATTTAATGTGAGCTATTATTAATTTAATCTAGAAATGTGAAATACTTTGATATATAAAATATCTGTTTGAATAAAAAAAAAAAGAAAAAACACACACACCCACTAATGAATTTGTAAAAAACACAACGATACGAACCATTAAGAATTTCAAATAAATTGTATAATGACAATAGAGAACGTACAAAGAAAGTATCATTGGCTTGAGTACTTTCATAATCGATTGCAGCTTCATCTCTAACATGTACATCTGATAAAACTTGAAGGATTTAAAAAAAAAAAAGAAATCTGACGTATTAATTGTGATTTTCTTTAAAAATAACAATAAAAAATAAGACATTAGATTGAGTCGTATTATTTTAACAGAAAATTATACATAAATATTGGTCTCGATATTTGATTAAAAGTATGACAAAGCTTTGAAATTAGTTGATAAACAAATTGAATTAATGAAACAATCTTCCGTATTATATTTAAATTAAAGACGAACACAGTTACCTGATGTACTATCAGTGGGAATACGAAAATAAAAATTCCACAAAATGAGGCCAACATATTCGAGGAACTTTGTTGTCCCAAAATAAAAAGAACTAATCTATTTGAAAAAAAAAAATGTTGTTCGTAATAACTAATACCTCCCGTAAACATCGCGATAAGTAATAATCTTGTGTTAACAACTGCAAAGAAATGACTAACAAACCCTAGTCTTCTCATTTTTTTTTTCTTTTTCTTTTTTTCATTATTCATTCTAATTTGCCCTTAATTACGATATAATCGTGTAATGTTTTTTTAAAATATTCATACGAAAAAACGTGTCATCATAATACGAGTGCACGCGTAGAAAGAACGTAACGTTCAAATGTTGCGCTTCCTGCCTTTTTTTATTTTTTCTTTTTCTTTTTTTTATATAATTGTGGCATCGAACAATCGAGTATATGGGGTAAAGTTTTCACATTAGTATGAAAACATCTGGTGTCGTTCCCGAGAATGTAAAAGAAGGGTGACATGTCTACGATTTTCTTTTCATTTGAAAGACATAAGCAGAAGGGTTGGTCAATTGCAACCCCTTTTTCAGTCGATATCCGTCCGTTATAAAAGATACTCGTTGAAAGAATTAACGCGTGTTTAAGTTAAAGTTTATATTTATTTTAATAAAATTTATATTCTATTTCCGATCTTACTCATATTTTAAATCTGCCGCTATTATCTTTCAAATATTATTATTTTCTTTTTTTCTTCTCATTTCTATTTCTTCTTATTGTTGTTATGATTCTCAATTTAACGCGAATGTTTTCAAATAAGAACGACCTTAATCTATTTATTGGTTTAAAATCGTTTAATAAAGTTAAACCATCTAATGCGTTATCTTTCGCATAAACGTAACCGTCGTAATCGTTCAAAAATCAAACAAAAGGGTTTAGTAATAATTATTAACGTTTTTTTTTATCAAGCACATTCAATCGGTTCATTCGTGATTATTTAAACAATAAAACCTGAAAACAATTTATATGAAAGAAAAAGAACTTTGGAAAGTTTAGTGATAACATCATTTTGCGCTTGATAAAACTGTTAAATTATTCGCTTTTTAAAATTGTAAAATTTACTGGCAATAAAATGACGGAGGAATTTCATCTTAGAAATTGTATGCTTTATGAATATATGCGCGGAACAAATGTTTTGGATGCTACAAAAAACATTAAAAAGGCGCTTGGTGAATATGCTGTTGATTATTACCGATGTGAAAAATGGTTTAACAAATTTCGTAAAGGATTCCGTTCATTAAAAGATGATAGTGATGATGAGGAAGAAATTATAACTTCCCTTAAAATTAAATATATTTCAACAATCCAGACTGAGCAGGCTAAAGCATTTTATTGCAGTATGCAAAATTATGAGGATATAATTGGATCCTATTCTTATTATCTTCAGAGATATAAAATAGCCGACTATCTTTTAGAGACCAGTAAACACAACAAACTTTTCCGAGAAATTGTGATATTAGATGAACTTTGTGTGTCTTATGTGACTCTGCATTATACAAACATAAATGTAAGTGAAGTCGAAAAATCAAATGGGAAAATTTACACAAAACTGCACAATGTGAAGATATCTTTTTGGTGGAATTTCAGAGGCTTCCTTCACTTGGAACTATTACCAAAAAATAAAATTTTAACCGATGAATTTTATTGCAAACAATTTGATAAACTTCATGAAATTTTACTGTTAAAAGAACCCGGACCGGTTCTCAGTAAATATGTAATACTTCAGCATGACATTGATCAGCTATATTCAACAAAAATACTTAAAAAAATGAGCGAATTGGGATATAAAATTCTTCCTCAGCCTTACAAGTCTCCTGACTTTAGCTGTTCTAACTGTTTGGTGCTCTCTAGTTTAAAGAAACAATTCGAAGGAAAATTTTTTGCCAATGAAGAATTATTAATACAAGCTATTACAAAATTTTTGGGTTATCAAACTGAAACATTTTATTCTCAAGGAATTACTCATCTAATACAAATATGGAAGAATGTATATACTGATTTTGTAAAGTGTATTACTAAATAATTTTTATTTCATTTCTCCAAAAAGTATATATATATATATATATCAATGATTTTTGACATATCATTGCACTATTTCTATTTACTTATTTATCTTTTGTATTATACATAAAAATTCTCTTAAATTTTGTCCTTTTATTTGAATTATAATTGTGATCTTTTTTTTTGTCTATAATTTAACACAATTTTACTATTCACGAAACATTTCTTTATTATGAAAATAGTGTTTTTTTATTTGTATTATATTTCCGAAAAAAATATTAAATACATTATTATATATTTAAAAAATTATCATCAGTTAACCTTGTGATAATTATATATATATGGTACAAAGTATTAAAGATTATAGTACTATAAGTGTTCTATCAAAATTTTAATTATTTTTTTTTTATAAAATTTTTAATATTATTTTTCGTAGATTAGTGCGATATTAATGTCGACTGGTTACGTAAATAGAATAGTACTCTTCTAAACTAATGTAAGAATCAAATTTTCTACTCATATATAATTTGAAAACATTATCAGCAACTAAAAGTAACATTTTAAAAATCCTTATTTCTTCTTGGAAAACTTCGATAAGATAAAAAAAAATTAGTTTTATAAGAATATTTTATTTTTACTTATGCTTATACAATTTCTATATTTGATAGGATACAAAAAACAATTTACTTGTATAATTACAAAACAAAATATCAGGAAAAATTAACAAGTAATATGAATTTTTCTACAAATTATGTATTTAATTAATTATTTATATTTGTGAAAAATAAACTCTTGCTTGCTGGCAACAAAAAAAGTTTGCAGTTTTGCTTTATATTGCGAAATAAACTTACTTAACATTTGGTATTAAATTATTAATTTTAGTAAAAATTAGTAAACATTTGCCAAAATTTTGATAAACATAAAAAAGAACTAACGATCCTTAATTACAAGGCCGGTTTACGACCATGATATATTTACGTTAAACGTTAATAATCATCTAATAATAAATAATGTTGTTTAGCTTACATACATTTAATATAACTTTTTTTAGAAATAAAATAAAAATTTTGTTTATAATACAATTGTTCCTATTTTTGTTTGCGTCTCCAAATGAATGACGCTAATAAAGTTCCACCAAAAATACATTTTCATATGTTACTGTAAGCCTTTTGTTTTTGATGATGATTTTCGAGGTTCACTTTCATCAAATTCTCTTTATATTCACGCAAAGCACACAAAGTTCATCATCTCCTAGCACGATTTGTTCCTAAAATGGTTTAAGGTTTTTGTATTTTAAAAAATAGTTATAAAAAAAATTCTCTAATAACGACGAATTTAACTTTACTATTACCGTGGGATCCATTCTTTAAATGGACTTCGTTGATTCCTCTAAATTTATGTTTTGACGAAAATGCAGATTATTTATACTTTGTTTGTTCTTATACTTTCTGTCGATTAGTTCTACAATTTTAATGAAGATAATATTACGTTGATTATCCTCATCAATTATATTGTTTCCGTACATGAAATTTTTAAACAGTAAACTACAATTTGTAATGTCAACAATATCGTCACCGAAGATTCTACTAATGTTTTTTACAACTATTGGAATTTTATTACCTAATTCGAACTCGTACATAAGGCAGTGATGAAGAAAGCTTTCAGTCAACATTTTATCGTAAGAAAATTTTGAAAATTTTTAACGATAAACCAACAATTTTCTACCCGCAAAACTTTGTCTTAAATAAATTTTGCTAATAGTTCTTTGTTTTTTTATATAAAATGTACGCAGGTTTTATTGTTTAAATAATCACGGATAAACTGAACGAATGTTTGATACAAAAAGCGGCAATAAAACCGACTTTTGAACGGTTACAAGATACGAAAGTAAGCAAACTATAACGATCGGTCTTACTTTGTCAGACGATTTTATACTAATAGTTAATAGAGGTCGTACTTATATGGAAACATTTGTGAAAGAGAGAAATAGAATAATATCGTGAATAAGAAGAAGAAAAAAAAGAAGAAGAAGAAAAGAAATGAAAAAAAAAAAAAATAAATAGATAGATATAATTCGTGGATAATATAGATCTCGATAAACTTATGTTCTCAAATACAGGTGGAGACCGTAGGAACGCTGGCAAGGAACCTTAACAGCAGAAATAAATAAATAAGTGCTCTTATTCGTTCACTATTTGCTCAACTGTATTATATTAAATATTTTTTATTTATCGTTAATTAGTTGAAAATAATTATTACACTTTGAATAATTATGAAATGGCGACATCATGAGTAGGAAATATGTTATACACATGTGCAACCAAAAATTCAAAGCGCAAGCACACTCAGAAAAAAATAAAAGTAAAGTTAGTATACCTGCAGGGGATATATTTAAAGTTCATATCCAAAGAAGCAACTTATAAGGTAGTGAAAAGAAAATAAGTTAATCGTTCATAATGTATTAACAATAGGTAAATATTTTCAGTTTTTCAATTTTTTCTACTGCTGCGGTTCTATGCCAACTTTTATATGGTGAAATATATAGAAACTCACAAGTAGCCTTTTTTATCTACCCAACATTATTTTTGTTACCAATGGGACCACCATTGGACAAAAGTATGTACTTAACGCGATGACGGTACAATACTATCAAAGAATACAATATTCTTTAAAAGTATATATAGTATAGTTATATTGTAAGAAAATGTAAAATAATTATATTTAATTTGTAGTGTCTAAATACGTGTGTGCCTTCAGAAATGCGTTTTTTACACATATATATTTAAAAAAGTAGAAGAAAATCAAAACGAGTAGATGATGAATCAAACGATGATCACCTGTAACAAAAAGAAAACTATATTAATCATACAATCAAGTGATAATTCAATAGCCTAACATACAAATCGTCCAATTCGCAGATGCACTTTTCAACTGAATTCTATATTTATTTTATCAAATCTCTATTAAACGTTGCAATGAAATTCAATTTAAACGCGTGATTTTACATTAAAAAATATAATGAATTAAAAAATAGGAAAAATAAAAATATTTTAATAAGTTTCTTATAAAAATAATATCTATTAATATTATTATAAAATACTTTTGAACTACGTTATATACAAAAGAAAAATTGCAAATTTAATAAAATACAATCACAGTAAAAAATTCTTAAACACGAACAAGAAAAAAGAAATAACTAATATTTACTGAACGTTAAATTAACTTAAAAATTTAATAATACGAGAATTTTAATATTTTTAACTCTAACTAACTAAAACCTTATGTACCTTTTGGACGATATGGCACACAAATTTGATGTGCCAAGGAGATGGAATGGGTCCATCATCTCCAATTACAACTACATATTAATGACGAGCAGAAAAGTAATATAATAAAATATGACTAGAGAGCTATTCTCGAAAAGTTCGAACTTGCTGTTGAACCTTTGAAAATAACTCAATAGTCTGTGTAGTTGCCCACTTGATACCACATTTAAGTGGGGGCCTCTTCGGCCTTAGCCTCTTCGGCATTTAGCCTCTTCTTTCTTCATGCCCTAAACGCTGCTGTGAGGCTATTTTTAACATTTACTCGAATGCCTCAA